GCGGAGGCTTGCGATTGTGTTAATGTGTGCAGTTATGATAATTTGCTTAGTTTCGTTTATCCAGAGTTATCAATCAGGATAACACGATTATCATAGATTCATTTACCGATTATCCTAGTGTGTGTTATAATATTTTAGGTCTCCATTTTCATATCTCATCGCAGGATACAGCTCTTATGAATAAGATGGTTTTGCATGGACTTGGAAGGAACACTCGATATGCTTCTGGATTACAATTTTATTCTAACAAGCACGTGACATTCTATCATGCAGGTCAAACATGCGTCAATAATTCATGGGCAAGATTATGCAATTAACTAATATGAACGACAAAAACTTATGCAGTTGTGACATTATGCAATTATGCAATATGAATAACGAAAACTCTTATGCATTTGACTAAAATGAATGAATAAACACTTATGCATTTAGCTAAATTGAATAACTAAAAATTCTTATGCATTTGCGATATTATGCATTAACTAATATGAATAACCAAAACTCTTATGCAATTACGAGATTATGCATTTGACTAAAATGAATGAATAAACACTTATGCATTTGCGAGACTATGTATTTAGCTAAATTGAATAACTAAAATTCTTATGCATTTGCGATATTATGCACTAACTAATATGAATAACCAAACTCTTATGCATTTGACTAAAATGAATGAATAAACACTTATGCATTTAACGAACTGAATGACTAAAAACACTTCTATCAATTGTACCCTCTACTTTTCCTACCAGGCATCATTAGTTCGCCCATGTATTGATCACAATCGGCGACTGGTCGAGTTTGAAAACAAGCATGACACACTTCATATGGCGGTAATAAAAAGCACTTATTGTATCCCAGAGGCGAAAGTATATGTCAATAGATTCATCGGCAAGTCTAAAATCCTTTTTAACGGAAGGTTTGATACAATGGTGGGTGAGGGCGTGTGGGCGCGAGAGCGAATCTGGCTCTGTTTTAATTAACTCTTCGGCGAGATTCTGGGACAAAGGAAACTGGTTTGACAAGATTTCTCTGTGTTTTCTTGAGTCTGTATGTGGGGAGCGATACGACCTCTGTTGTTTGTGCGAGCGGCAGCTGAGACTTTCTCCGCTGTGAGGTGAGCGGCGGCGCTCGTTCAGAAGACTTTGACTCTTTTTCTCCACGGCGGGATGACGAGTCGGTTTGGGTTGATGCTGGTCGATCTGGGTGTCGCTCGGTGTCGCACGGTGGCGCACGGTGGCGCACGGTGGCGCACGTTCAGCGCAAAGTGGTGCACGGTGGCGCACGGTGGCGCAAGGTGGCGCAAGTTGGCGCTCGTTCAGCGATCTCCGCCTTTCCTGCGGGTTGTTCGCTGGTCGTCACTCTGACGAGGAGCGATGCTTCGTTCGTGGCAGGGTGGACGTTGGCGTCTTTGTTGGCTTCACTCGCAGCTCTGCGACTCAGGGTAGCGATTCTTCTCAGGTGGTGCAGACCTCGGCTTGTAGCTACGCGTCGCTACTCCGCGACCCTCGTCATTCTCAATGATGAAAACTTCTTGACGATCTGTGGTGGAGCCGAAGATGGGCTCGTGGCCCGGATGATCTCTGGTGGAGCTCGTGGCCCGGACGATCTCTGTGATGGAGGCCAGAGCCCCTGTCGATCTGTGGTGGAGCCGAAGATGGGCTCGTAGCCCGGATGATATGTGTGTTGGAGCCGAAGCCCGGACGATATGTGATGGGGGCCAGAGCCCCTGACGAACTGTGATGGAGGCCAAAGCCCCTGTCGATCTGTGGTGGAGCCGAAGATGGGCTCGTAGCCCGGATGATATGTGTGTTGGAGCCGAAGCCCGGACGATATGTTTTGTATGGATTTTCCTTCGGTTTATATCGGAAAATTCCACTCGGCTTCCCGAGTTGTTCAAAGGCTGTGTCATAAAACCTTCCTGTGGGGGTGGACCATCTGCGTCCGTGTGTGTGTCCGTCCGTGTGTTTCGCGTGCGTGTTTGTCCGTGTGTTTATTAGCTTTGAAGACACAGCTGTGTGTGTCGTTCTGGAAGAAAGGGGTGGGGGTCTCGTGACGGTGCCACCAAAGTTATCCATTAGCCAGACCGATGATTCGCGTCGAGTTATAAAAAAACATTCGAATCCATGTTTTGTTACTGAATAATATTTGTCGCGAAAACTTACGCGTTAAGCGAGCTTAATTATTACCTCCCTTGCTCTGGGATCACATCCTTTGTCTCACACAGCTTAAGTTGGTTTGGTTTGGAAGTTGAAATGCAACTTATTTGCTGCTTGGTTCCATCTGCACAGTTATGCCGAAACCGTGTTCACGATGTTTCATCGTGACCCAACCTTTATGGGTGTCATTTCCTGGCTTGGTGCCTGTGTGTGGAGATCCTCTCGGAAAGACAAAGGCGGTCGTGTTGCTCGCTTCCCATGGGTGTTGTGTTTGGTTAATTTTGAGAGCCTTCTCCGCCCTTGATTCCTCTTCTATTTTAATTCCGTACTTATTATTCGACTTCTTGTGATTATTTGATCTGATATCCCGGCTAGGAATTTGTTTTGGAGCGAAATAGATGCCCTAATTATTCTTTGATGCTTCGGCCCGGCCGTGTAGATATTCTTTAAAGGTAAATAATGTCAGTACTTAATTAACAATGATGGGTCGCGATTCTGGTGCAGATTGTCTTTTGGTTTTCAATTGGAGTGAGGATGGATACTGTTTGCTTAATCTTTATGGTTGAGTTGGTAACTTGTGTATTTAACATGGTTCAAAGACCCATCTGTGCTTTTTGTCGTCGATGCTGTTTCTTTGTTAAGAATATAATTATCTCTTCCTCCGTGTCTCCTGGTTCTGCAACCCCCCGCCTGCAATTCCCCCATTCCTTGTTCCTCTTGTGTGAAATTCGGGGAGTTTATGACCTTGATTACCCTCTTTCATGCCCTGTTTCCTTTGAAATGAGGTATGCGCGCATCTGTGGAAGTGTGGGGGCCTCTGTGGAAGTGTGGGGGCGTGTTCGTTCCCACGTGGCCGCGTCTATTAAAAAAAACGATATTATCTATGTTGGCAGAATAATTCTTAAAAAAAAAATATTAAAAAAAATAAAAAAAGGGGGCATATACACAACAAAGGGCCGCGGGGGAAGAGGAGTTGTGAAGTGGTCAACTACTGCTTTTTGCTATGAGATCTCTTTTACCAGTGGCAAAATATAATAGTAGGTTTTTACCCTTTTAACTGGTACAAAACTGACACCTTTATTCAAGGCATCATGTTTGCAATGACCAGGACAGTGCATATTATCATCCTTATCAGAGTTGCTTCTTTTTGTTTGCTTTTTTGACTACTTGTGTCGTGGTCATTGCAAACATGATGCCTTGAATAAAGGTGTCAGTTTTGTACCAGTTAAAAGGGTAAAAACCTACTATTATACTGCTTTTTGGTTTGTCTCACTTCCCACCTTTAGTCCATGAGCCCAGAGAAGATATTTGACTTGTCAGTACCACTCAATATTATTTAGCTTGAGTGGTTCAAATTTAGTTATGTGGCTAGTAACAGCGAATAATGTAATACGCATGTTAAATAGCCGAGTTGGCAAATAATTAACTCTTATTTGCAAAAAAATAAATATCGTTATGACTAAAGTTGTTTCCACCTTAAGTGATATCAGTGTCGACTCTGACCCATGAGCTTCTTGAAGGAGTTGGCTAGTGGCCCCTGAGAATGCGAATCCATCGCATCGATCAGCGGTTAGCCATTCGATTCTCAAATTTACAATATAATTTCTTCCCATGATTACCCTACAGTATAGTTAATGTAAACAGTTGAATGGTACTATTCACCACGGATATTAATGATACGAAATTAACGCATCCCCTTCATGACATCGTCCTGCACAATTCCATCATATCGATCGTCTGCTGTAAGTTGAACGTCTTTCGCACCGTACGTAGCGGACCCGGATTTATTCCTATAGTGCTATGAGCAGATTTATAAATACGTAGGGAAAGATGGATGGGGTGTGGCCAAACTAAATCCATGGAGCGGTGTTCTGGACTTGTTCCAAGCATATTTACGGGGTTTAATCATCTCAGTTTTTGTATTCGCGAACAATTCAGTGTACAGGGCGGTCTAGATGTCTTGTGATCCCTCAATGAGTTGACCCCTAACATTGTTTTCCCGTTGCATAGCAATTTATGTTTCAAATAAACTTTACTTTAACAATTTTCGTTGGTTCTTTCGGTAAAGTCACGTAGATATAAAATAAAATAAATAATAATAAAAACCAAACCTCACGACGTTTGGTTTTTAATTATTTTTATGTTTATTTTATTTCTATTTACGTGACTTTACCGAAATAACCAAAGAATATGTCCGTGCAGTCACCAAAGTTTTACGTCAAAACCGTACTTTAACAAAACGCAAAATATAACGTGGTTTTCGCGGATGCGGTTTTAGGGTGGACCATGAGCTTCGTGGGAGGAGACCAAACCCGGGGAGCTTTCTGCGTTGGGGTCTTTGACCAGGTAGTAAGTAGTTATAACAAACTTTATTTGAATCTTTCTTTGGTCCTTTCGGTAAAGTCACGTAGAAAGAAATAAAATAAAATAATTAGAGTTGTGTTGTCTCTCTGCGTGCGTGTCTGTCTTTTGTCTCTCTCTCAAATTTCCTTCTAGCTGACGACGGTTGTTTGTGTTGCAATCGAAACGTCGTACTCTATTATTTAATGTATTTTCTCTCGAGTTATTCTAGTTAGAACAACTCCTAGTGGTGCCACCACGTGCCTCGTGAAAGTGAAATCCCTGGCACTGGTGGCTGATGGGCCCTGCCACCTCTGCACCGTCTCGCGATGCCCCGCCCACTCCCCCCCCCCCCCCCCCGTTGAGAGGGGGGGGGGGGGCGGATTCTTCGCTCTCTGATTGGCCAAGAGTTTTCCCGCCTTTTTAAAAATCTCTTTGGCGTCGAGCGCACTCGCGGTTTTCCCGCTGAGGAGCTTCGTTTACACAAGCAAATACTGTATATTTCTAACCAACGCGAAAGAAAACATCAAACAACCGACAATTAACGTCGACTAACACCAAGCCAGCACTGAGCGGCGTGGACAACTCACTTCGTGTGTGCGCAAGCACGACGTCTGGGCCAGTTTCCCCTCAGCCACGACTCAGAATCCACAACAACTGAGGTGTAATATCATACATTGCTGTCATAACTATTGTCTGTGTTAGCATAGTTGTGGGGGTGGTCAATTGGTGGTCCAATGTGTAACAACAATCGTTCGTGTCGTCATGGAGAATATAAGTAACATGGTATGATCAATGCCTTATTCACACATATGTACCTCCACGTAAAAACATTTTTTTAACACTTCCTTAAAAGTGCATCGTTTCAGGAACATTGTTTAAATTCAAGCAAACTACCGGTGTCGTCGTCTCACATGGTAGTCAGGCTTCAACCAATGCTTGCGAACTGCGAGATTATAATTTTTATTTATACCGCAGGAGGAATCCGAAGAGCTATAAAGCTCTTGGTTCTTTCGGTAAAGTCACGTAGAAGAGAAATAATAAAATAATATGAAACAATAACAATTCTCAAGATGTTTCGATTGCAACACAAGCAATCATCATCAGGTGTGAAATCCACAACAATATTTATTATTTTTATTATTTTATTGGTTTATATTGTTATTATTTTACTATTTCCCTTCTACGTGACTTTACCGAAAGAACCAAGAATATGAATCCCTGCAGTCACGAAAGAAGCTTTAAATAAAAATTTACAAAGCTCTTGTTCAAGGGTGCCCCAGTAAGTAGGGGCACGGGGTAAGAACATTACAGATGTTAAGATGTTATAGGCACGAATGCTCTTCCTTAGTCAAAGCTAAACTAAACAAATACAGCCCTACATCGGTAGGACATCTTCACTCATAAGAAATTCAGAACATCTTGTGAATGTGATCAAAGATATTAAACTTAAACTTCATGATATGTTGGTGAGTTTTGATGTGATTTCGCTATTCGCTAAGGTTTCAGTGAGCGAGTCGCTTAAATTACTTGATACACTAGTAAAGAATACAGGTTTACCAAAAGATATTCCGAAACTCGCTGAACATTAAATTTCGATTTAAAGCTTCTTTCGTGACTGCAGGGATTCATCTTCTTGGTTCTTTCGGTAAAGTCACGTAGAAGGGAAGTAATAAAATAAAAAAAATAAAACATTTAAAGCTTCTTTCGTGACTGCAGGGATTCATCTTCTTGGTTCTTTCGGTAAAGTCACGTAGAAGGGAAATAATAATAATAAAATAATACAAATAAAACATAACAAAATACAATTCTCACGACGTTTCGGCCACAACGCAAGCAGCCGTCCTCAGGTGTCGGAAAGACAGCGTCCGAATGAACACCACCAAGTTTGGCAGCGTATATTTAAGCTGGGTTAGTGGAGGTGGGCGCCTTGACAAAGGAATTTACATATTTATGGGAAATGCAGATATGGGATTAGTCACTACTTGTGATTATTTTGTCTTATATACTGCATACAAATATAACTTAGCTTTGACTAAGGAACGATATCGTAAGGAAGAGCATCCGTGCCTATAACATCTTGACACTGAAACGTTCTTACCCCGTGCCCCTACAGGTAGAAGTGTTATTCAAACAATGTTCAGCGATTCATATTCTTGGTTCTTTCGGTAAAGTCGTCACGTAGAAGGGAAGTAATAAAATAATAAAAATAAAACATTTAAAGCTTCTTTCGTGACTGCAGGGATTCATCTTCTTGGTTCTTTCGGTAAAGTCACGTAGACGGCTGCTTGCGTTGTGGCCGAAACGTCGTGAGAATTGTATTTTGTTATGTTTTATTTGTATTATTTTATTATTATTATTTCCCTTCTACGTGACTTTACCGAAAGAACCAAGAAGATGAATCCCTGCAGTCACGAAAGAAGCTTTAAATCGAAATTTAATTGTTTTATTTTTATTATTTTATTATGTTTTATTTTTATTTCATAATGTTTTATTGTATAATTTTATTATGTTTTATTTTTATAATTGTATAATGTTTTAGTTTTTATTATTTTATTATGTTTTATTTGTATTATTTTATAGTTTTATTTTTATTATTTTATTACTTCCCTTCTACGTGACTTTACCGAAAGAACCAAAAAGATGAATCCCTGCAGTCACGAAAGAAGCTTTAAATCGACAAATTGGTGTCTACCTGCTTATTTTCCAGGTACCATCACGATCGTGAGAGTACCGTATGCAACAATGACCGTGCTGTAACCTCTCTTGAACCGGGAGCTTCGACTCGTCACCTCTTGCAAGGTAAAGTTGTGGCGAGGAGGGAGGGGGTCACCATGCTATAAAATAACGAGAGACGTTTAATGTTTTGTTATTTTATGTAGGTACTGTACCTACATAAATGATGACTTGTGTCAATTCATGATAATACAGTGGTATGTGGTACTAACTTGGTCTTAAATTCCTACTTTACTCATGGCCTGCGTTGGTAAATGCAGAGATTATTGCGTGGTCGGTTACATTGGACCGTAGACTTGCTGTTATCTGTCCATAGTGGCTTAATATTCTTAAATGCAATACTCAGCTCTCCATCATCTCACCGAGTTTTCCCTCATCATAAAAGTTTACCTCAGTTCCTGAGACCCGTTCGTAAGTCGAATGGTTCGTCAGTCGCAACCCAATAATGCACTGAATTTAAATGCCCATACGGTCGGTGTCATAAAATTTGTTACGCGTCAACAAAAAAGGGAAGCATTGTTACAACTCATTAATAACAAAACATATTGTACATTTGCATGCAGTAAGTACTATATAGTTATTAAAACATAAAATGAAGTAACATAAATAGAAAAAAAAATCAGTTTTACGTTTACTGACCTTGAATCCTGACACTGGCTTGCTTGTCCGAAGGGGCACAATGAGTCACCACAATTGCACACCACGCACGCACACACACAAATACAAAGATCTCGTGTATATCCTTAACAGACTGTTGAGGCAAGTGCTGTTAGCTAGCACCTATGAAGACCGGCATGGCACGTGAGGAGGTCGGTGGCCAAAAGTACGCGCGGCCGCCTTTGTCTCCTGAGTGGCGATGTTTACATACCGCACTAGATACTCATTTGAGGCTGAGTCGACCTAGGGGAGGCCCAGGACCGGATCAGATAATCGTCATTGGTGTTGACCATAAGCAGGAATCGTACTCGGGTCGTCAGGTTCGTAGCACAGCTTGCTAACCGCTGCTACACGACCGCTCCCCACACGCTCACTTTCACACACACGCTCACTCACTTTCATAGGCACAAATGTGCGCGCACACACAAACGCTCACTCCCCGTGCGAGGCTGACTCATTACATCTTGTGGAGGATCACTCCACTGAACAACATAGTTCCGCGCTTCAGTATGCAAGCCCAAGTTCGCGTTTTAAGTCAATGTAAAAAAATCAGGAAGCTGGTTCTTAAGTGCGGATGTTCGTAAGTCGGGCATTTGTATGTCGATAACTGGCTGTACTATCTTGATTTGAAGTTTTCGTGACTGCAGGATTCCATACTCTTTGGTTCTTTCGGTAAAGTCACGTGGGTAGAAACAATTAAACAAAACAAAAAATAACATATCACGACGTTTCGATCGCAACACAAGCGATCGTTCTCAGGCGTAAAAAACAATCCAGCGAGAGAGCTGTTACAACAAGGTAATATAACCATGTTGTAACAGCTCTCGCTGGATTATATAACCTTGTTGTAACAGCTCTCTCGCTGGTTCAGCAGTTCCACTGCTGGATTATTTTTTCCTCCTGAGGACGACTGCTTGTGTTGCGATCGAAACGTCGTGATCATTTTTTTTACCTACGTGACTTTACTGAAATAACCAAAGAGTATACTGCCTGTACTCTTCTTCCAATGTATTTTGCTGTTAAACATGTGTTTTTCTTGCTTTTTTGTGCACATATCAGAACTATTATCTACCCGGAGCAATCAAAATGTCTACAGAAGACTGTTTAACATCACCTCACCATCAGGATGCTGATGTTTGTGATGAAGAGGACTTGATTGGACTTGCTACCACCACTTGTGATATGTCCGGTGTCTCTGGTGGATCTTCTCATGATGACCAGCAACAGCTGCACTTGAGCAATGCTACATTTAAGGAGGAAGGTTTGAATGCTGAAGCCAGATGTCAACTCAATAGCCAAGATGCAGTCGATGACTTTTTCTGCACCAGTGAGTTTTATGAGGATGAAGAAAGTAACGAAGAAGTACATCTGATCAATTACATGAAGATGGCAGCATCGCCTATTTATGATATAATGTGTGGCGATGAGATTAATAACAGTGCAGATGATTCTGATAGTGATGCTATCTCACCATTGCCAAAATTTAATAGCTTATCTGTTTCAGCACTTAACGATTATATTGTCAGTGGTACTGGTTCCGAATCAAAACCAATTGTAGATAAACCATACCACGAGCCATCTAAGGGATGGACAACTGAAAGCTGTGCAGATGTACTAAGACATGAAGCAGCTTATGAAGCATTCAATTCATGTCACCCAAACACAAATTTCCGAGAATCTCAGGGTCCATATAAAGATGTACTCAGAAATGAAAACAATTTAATGCTGGAAAACTATGAGCAAGACAAAATTGTTGAGTTGCCTGGCATTGGTAATGAAGAGGTTAGAGAAAATAATTTTTGTTGTACAGCCAGTCCATCCAATGCAAATCCTAAAGCAGAGAAAGGCATGCAATATGGTGCACATTTCAGTGACGGAAAGGTCATAAATAGTCAAATAAATACATCACATTGTGCCGCTGAACATGGACAAACCAAGAAGTTGGAGATGGTTGAAGAATATAAAGCCTCAAAAAATATCACATCACATATATCAGATTTGATGCAAGAGGACAATTTAAAACTGTGCCTCAAAGATGGTATTTGTGATGTAAATGCCATACTTTCTAACACACTACCCCTAGACGTTGCAGTAATCAATACAGGTTGTTGTACGATTCAAGAGCAATCTGATATTACAAAAGATGTTTTGCTTATGTATCAAAGCAAAACCAATGACTCACTTCAGAAAAATAGTATATCTTCAACTTGTGATAATTTATCTGATACGCAAGGTATGTACTCTGTTGATGATACTGCTGCAAACGTAAACATATGTGCAAGTAATGTAGTTGAAACCATTATTCAAAAACGTGTTTCAAAACAAAATGAAAAACAAACTATTCGACAAATAAGTCGAGCAGATATGACTAATTACATAGATAATTCCTTCCTTAGTCGGAAGCTTTGGAAATGCCGTCTTTGTAACAAGATCTATATGACAAAGGAAAATTTGATTACTCACATGATAACACACTGCGAAGCTGGAAAAGACAGTGGCTTTAATTTAGAAAAGTGTCCTATCGAAAAGCAATCTGTAGATGTTGAAAACAAGCCATTGCTTTTCAGTCCTAGTATAACAGGTGAAGGAGTTCATAAAAATAGTCCATGCTCATCTTGTGAGCAGATGCCTACCAAGCGGTGCACTCCAGTTCATGAAATTGCTATTTTAGAATGTCTCCCTAAACACAATGAGATAAATACATTTTCCCAATTAAATCGAGCATCTATGAACGATTACATCGACAACTCCTACATAACAAAAAAGTATGGCTGTAAGCTTTGGCAATGCCGAAAATGTGTAAAAAGATATACAACTAAGTACAATTTCGTGACTCACATGTTGACACACTCTAAAACTGGAAAATGCATTAGCTCAAATATCTTTAGTCATGAGCTTCAACAAAAAACGGAAGGTGGTGTGAAGAGTGCAATGTTGTTCAATTCCAATAAAATAAGTGAAGTCTTTCAGAAAAATAATCCCTGTTCAACTTTTGAGCACTTGCCTATGGAGCAGAATTGTTCATCGACTGAAGTATATTCTACAAAGCCAGATCTGTGTGCTCATGGCACTGTGGATGGAACTGTTGTTCTAGTATACGTCCCAAGACACAATGGGATAATGAATTTTCACAATTATATCGAGAAGTTATGAACAATTACATCGACAACTCCTACATGACCAAGAAGTATGGCCGTAGGTTTTGGCAATGCCGAATGTGTGTCAAAAGGTATACGACTAAGTACAATGTTGTGACTCACATGTTGACACACTCCAAAACTGGAAAATTCATTGACTCGAATTTCAAAAGTCATAAGATCCAAGAGAAAACGGAAGGTGTTGTAAACCGTGCATTGTTTTTTAGTTCTAGTAAAATCAGTGAGGTGCTTCAGGAAAATAATGCCTGTTCAACTTCTGAGCACTTGCCTATCGAGCAGAATTGTTCCTCTCCTGAAGCATCTTCTACAAACCCAGATCTGTGTGCTCATGGCACTGTGGATGGAATTATCATTCCAGAATATGTCCCAAGACACAATGCGATCGTGACATTGTCACAATTATATGGAGCAGCTATGAACAATTACATCGAAAACTCCTACATAACCAAAAAGTATGGCCGTAAGTTTTGGCAATGCCGAATATGTGTAAAAAGATATACAAATAAGGACAATTTTGTGACTCACATGTTGACACACTTTAAAACTGGAAAATTAATTGACTCGAATTTTAAAAGTCATAAGATCCAAGAGAAAACGAAAGTTATTGTAAATCGTGCATTGTTTTTCAGTTCTAGTAAAATAAGTGAAGTCTTTCAGAAAAAGAATGCCTGTTCAACTTCTGAGCACTTGCCTATGGAGCAGAATTATTCCTCTCCTGAAGCATCTTCTACAAAGCCAGATCTGTGTGCTCATGGCACTGTGGATGGAACTGTTGTTCCAGAGTACGTCCCAAGACACAATGGGATAATGAAATATTCCCAATTATATCGAGCAGCTATGAACAATTATATCGACAACTCCTACGTTACCAAAAAGTATGGCCGTAAGCTTTGGCAATGCAGAAAATGTGTAAAAAGATATACAACTAAGTACAATTTCGTGACTCACATGTTGATACACTCTAAAACTGGAAAATGCATTGGCTCAAATATCTTTAGTCATGAGCTTCAACAAAAAACGGAAGGTGGTGTGAAGAGTGCAATGTTGTTCAATTCCAATAAAATAAGTGAAGTGATTCAGGAAAATAATGCCTGTTCAACTTCTGAGCACTTGCCTATGGAGCAGAATTGTTCATCGACTGAAGTATATTCTACAAAGCCAGATCTGTGTGCTCGTGGCACTGTGGATGGAGCTGTTGTTCCAGAATACGTCCCAAGACACAATGAGATAATGACATTTTCACAATTATATCGAGAAGTTATGAACAATTACATCGACAACTCCTACATGACCAAGAAGTATGGCCGTAGGTTTTGGCAATGCCGAATGTGTGTCAAAAGGTATACGACTAAGTACAATGTTGTGACTCACATGTTGACACACTCCAAAACTGGAAAATTCATTGACTCGAATTTCAAAAGTCATAAGATCCAAGAGAAAACGGAAGGTGTTGTAAACCGTGCATTGTTTTTCAGTTCTAGTAAAATAAGTGAGGTGCTTCAGGAAAATAATGCCTGTTCAACTTCTGAGCACTTGCCTATCGAGCAGAATTGTTCCTCTCCTGAAGCATCTTCTACAAACCCAGATCTGTGTGCTCATGGCACTGTGGATGGAATTATCATTCCAGAATATGTCCCAAGACACAATGCGATCGTGACATTTTCACAATTATATCGAGCAGCTATGAACAATTACATCGACAATTCCTACATAACCAAAAAGTATGGCCGTAAGCTTTGGCAATGCCGAATATGTGTAAAAAGATATACAACTAAGTACAATTTTGTGACTCATATGTTGACACACTCTGAAACTGGAAAATTAATTGACTCGAATTTCAAAAGTCATAAGATCTAAGAGAAAACGGAAGGTGTTGTAAACCGTGCATTGTTTTTCAGTTCTAGTAAATAAGTGAAATCTTTCAAAAAAATATGCCTGTTCAACTCTGAGCATCTTGCCTATGGAGCAGAATTGTTCCTCTCCTGAAGCATCTTCTACAAACCCAGATCTGTGTGCTCATGGCACTGTGGATGGAACTGTTGTTCCAGAATACGTCCCAAGACACAATGGGATAATGAATTTTTCACAATTATATCGAGCAGTTATGAACAATTACATCGACAGCTCCTACATAACCAAAACGTATGGCCGTAGGTTTGGCAATGCCGAATGTGTGTCAAAAACACTAAGGTATACGACTAAGTACAATGTTGTGACTCACATGTTGACACACTCCAAACTGGAAATTCATTGACTCGAATTTCAAAAGTCATAAGATCCAAGAGAAAACGGAAGGTTTGTAAACCGTAATTGTTTTTTTTAGGTTCTAGTAAAATCAGTGAGGTGCTTCAGGAAAATAAGATGCTTTCAACTTCTGAGCACTTCGCCTAATCTAACAAAATTGGTTCCTCTCCTGACGCATCTTCTACAAACCCAGATCTGTGTGCTCATGGAACTGTGAGATGGAAATTATCAGTCCAGAATATGTCCAGACACCTGCATAGTGACTTGTCCACAATTTATGGAGGCAGCGATGAACAATTACAATCGAAAACTCCTACATAACCAAAAAGGAATGGCCTTAAGTTTTGGCAATAGGCCGATATAGGTGTAAAAAGATATAAAAGAAGGAAAATTTTGGTTATCGGTCACGTAGGAGGGTTGACACACTTTAAACTGGAACTAATAATAATTGACATCTGAATTGTTAAAAGTCCTAAGATCCAAGAGAAACGAAAGTTATGTAAAATCGTGCTTGTGTTTTCAGTTCTAAGTACTAACAAATTAAGTCTTTCATGAAAAAGAATGCCTGTTCAACTTCTGAGCACTTGCCTATGGAGCAGAATTATTCCTCTCCTGAAGCATCTTCTACAAAGCCAGATCTGTGTGCTCATGGCACTGTGGATGGAACTGTTGTTCCAGAGTACGTCCCAAGACA